AGTGGAAGGCCATGAGAGAGAGCTGTCCTATACAAACTGACCAGACAGGTGTCATCAGGAGTTACCTGTAACTTACCTATCTATCTCCGTGAGGATTTAGCGCTAGCTAGATCACGCTTCTTAAAACCCCCTGCTGAATTCTGCTCACTAGGAATTGATTTCTTCATTTAGAGAAGCTGCGTTTCTGTTGTGTTATGTAAAAATAGTTTGTTTCTGTGATCTTTGATGGGGGAAATATTCATGTCAACCATGAGTAAGTCTTACACATATATTGTAGATTTCAGGAATTGAAATAGATTTGCATTGTCTATGGTATTGTAAAACTTTTTAAAAAATTATCTCTGTTATTTTTATCCCAACTATATTTCTGACTCTTTGGACTTTATCCCCGGGAAACATATTTTTCTTAATTTTATAATATTTGGACAACACTGTATGTACTTTATTACCTGAAACATTTTTTTTTAAAATGAACATTCAATTATTTATCCTAAAATGGTTGGGTTGGGTATTTTAAGGAACAATAAAGCTTATAATCTAACAAAGATCATTCTAGAATTATTGCTGAGATTTGCATTGAAATCACAATAAACTGATGAACAAGGTATCGGTTACTTTTTTAGTACCAGGGACCTATAATTATCTGTGTTAGTATGATAATTTCTGATGGTAACCGAGCAATTGTAAAATTTTACATGGTAATAGTGAAGCTTAATCTTGAAAAAGAAACAACCAGTGCCTTCTTATCGTACTTACTACAGGACTCTCTGTCATGTATTACGATCTTGGAGGAAGCCCAGTTCCAAGTCTCCCTTTATGTTCTAGACTAGTTGACACACAAAAACAAAGAGACTTGAGTAAGACTGACTTTCTGGACATGATCACATTGCTGTTTTTGTTTAATCGTGTTAATCACAATTTTTATTTATTATAAAAAAAAAATTAATCTCAGTTGCATGAAGTTCCATGCACGTTCTTAATCTTACCTATAACAATCATGGTGTATTCTTTAAAACATATTAGGTCAGACATCTATGATTGAAAGTTTCTGTTTTACTGGGAGTGTCCAAAATCTAGGAATAAAGATAATGATAAAAATGTTGTTTCTTGGAGATTAAAAAAGTTTTAAATTGGACCTTTTTTAGGCAGTCGAGAGAGGACAAACAAAATTTTTTTTATAGATGGCCTTAGAGAACAGTAGTTGTATATTGAACAAAATAATGTCATTGTAAACACTGGTTAAAGGAGCTAAGTGAGCCAACAATATGCTCTCATTTGTAGTTCTGCTAAAAATGTTCAAAACAAGCTTGTTGCTTCCAATTTGTAAGGAGTGTGTTAACCTTGATTTGACCTTGATGATTGACATATTGAATATTACGATACACCATTTGCTGCCCAGGTATAAGTGTATTTGTGATTATTATACTTTCATGTTAAATACTAAAATCTGATTGGTTTAGACGCAGTTAACAATCTGCCTTAGCAACACACGTGACAACGGGTAACACAACGGTAATGCCACATGCGTGAAAATTATGCGTGTACGTCGTAGAATTCTACAAACGTCATTGCATGTTTGTGCGTCCGATATAGCTTACTTGAAAACGACAGACGATTATTTATATGATAAATGACTCTAATTCGAGTATCAAACAAACATTAAGGAGATTAGTGACCCGGTGAGTGTGAAAGCTTTCTATACATAAACGTAAAGATAGCTGACGTCCTAAAGACATTCAGTATAATAAAATAAATGGACATATTGCTTTGCTGCTGTTTGTTGGTCTGTTGGTACACTAAGTTTCCATTCATTTTCTTTGTAGGGATTGCACAATATACTGAAATGAAATTTGGTATACAAATTCATCATAAGAATATCTAGGTCAAGTTCTGTTTTAGGTACAAACCAATCCATTTTGGACAGAATTATGCCCCTTGGACTTGGAAAAATTTCAATTAATGTGGGTGGTGGGGGGGTCCGAGGGGGATGGGGGGGGGAATGGGGGAGGGGAAGGATAAGTGTTTCACAAACAATTCTTGTGCTAAAATGTGACCTTGGTCCTATTCAGGGATGAGAGTGTGTCTTTTTAGATCAGATGGGAATCTCCCCTCCCTTTTTTTCTAAACCAGTTTTTACAGTTGAATATGTTCATTGAGGGACAGTGGTTCTCCACACACACACATCCCGCTCCCCTTTACCACCCCTTTCACCTTTTTCTTGTGGTATAGTGAAATCATGGTAATGTGGTAAAATATTTGTAAGTAATATTATGATGTGTAAAAAACCCAAAAAAGTTATGACCATCTCCCCACTTTTGAAACTGATACTGTAAGCCAGCAAATTGCAATAATGTTGTGTGTTGATCCGTACAATATTTACTTACAAAATCTTTGAATTTCATATTGACATGACTGTAATTGTGTAAAATGATTACTTATGTGACTTTAGAGAGAGATAGAGGAGGGGGGATGCTGATATAATTATAGCTTCACCATTTATGATATAGAGAAGGTAATTACCCAAATATTCCACTTTGGGAAGATGTCACATTTAAGATTGCAACAAAAATGTTTTTATTCACAAGTCCTATAGGCATTTTTGTTTGAATTTTCCACCTAATATCAGTGTTTTCCCTAAGAACCGGCTGACGGCCAAATGACCACTTCGACTGATAAAAATGTCACCTAGAAATCAAAATTTCTTGTAAGGTTAACATAGTTCTTTTCATTAACATCTACCCTTTGCCTGTAACAATCGATCTTTAACCCTTTACTTTAAAATAAAGGGAAAACACTGTAATATGATAATTCATTTGGTGGATCTGTCTATCACTTTACTTACAGCATGGAAAGTTGGTAGAAGAATTGAAAATAAGGTGTTCAGTCTTCTCGTCCTTTACTTGCATATTATCCTGTAAGGGATGAGGTTAATACAGAACACTTTATTAAACTGGTTCTGATGTGCTGATTAACGAAACGGAAGACCTTCTACTGATTCTGTTGGTAAAGATTACATGTGTATTATTCTTTTTTTTTTTTCTTCTACTTCCTAGACACCAACTTTGAAGCCTCATATCTCACTCATTTCTCAATAGATTTTGCTCAAATTTTCAGAGTTTTTAGACGTTACTAAACTCTATTAGTATGTTGTCTAATAATTCAAAAATTCACTTCCGGTTTTGAGTTATTTCCCTTTAAACGAAAATTATTAGGCTTTCATTTCCAGATAAAGGCTCAGAGACCACAAAGGCTGGAACAGAAATTCTACTGATTTTAGATAATAGAAGGATTGAAGTTGTGCACATAGGTTTTTGTTTTTAGATTTCTGTATTCAAAATGGAGCTATATAGGGGTAAAAAATTAGAACGCATAAAAGAGCGAAAATTTACAAATATTTTACTTGTTATCTTCTAAACTAAAAATATTTTTTTAAAACATATAGAACAAAATTTGTGCAGAATTACAAGATCTTTCAAATGATATCTCTGAAAAAGGGCTGGCCCCTAAATTAGGGGATCTAGAGGGGCCAAAAGTTTTTTCCAGATATCTCAAAAAGTATTTTTTTAAGAATTTGTCAAACATCAAAGAAGCAAAACTGTTCAAAATCTTTAGTAAAATCTATTGAGATCATCAAAATACGTCCTGTGACGTCACTTCCGGCCAAACCGGAAGTAGTCAGAAAATGCATATTTTTGCCGTTCTTGACACGTTTTTGGGAAATATTTGTCACTGGAAGTATAAAACTTAATTTTCCGTCCGTCGACGTCACTTCCGGTCGAACAGGAAGTAGCAAAAATTGCTTACTTTTGCAATTATCAACATAGATTTGGAAGATTGAAATCATTAGAGACGTAATTTTTCTTCTTTTAAAAAATAAGTTACTTCCTATCAAACAGGACGGAAGACCTACTCGTTGCTTTGCAACAAGCTCGGCTCTAGTTGTCATCACTTTCTGTGCTCCAAAATTAAATTGAAGCTTTAGCCCTTCATAATGATTATAGTATTTTGCCTACATTATTAAATATCTTAATTTAAAAAGTCAATCAGAATTTTTAACACTTTTACAGAGGATCATGGAGAATTTCAAGAATTAAATTTAATAATTCATTTTCCCTCAATTTCAGTAAATGTATATTTATATTTTTTTCCTGAAATAAAAAAAAATTATTCTTTGATAATAGGCTATTGTTGTGTTTGAAGTGTATTGATAGACTTATTAAATGCACAATTTTTTTCTAAGATTCATTCATACAAATATCATGATAAATCTTACTGATTTTCTTATTCATCTTGTTATGCATTAATTATATACCTCCATGGATGTTCATATCATTGACCTTTTGATAGACAATTAAAGCATGAGTTTACATGAAGAAAGTGACATCCATTTGTCATAATTAGAGCAGAAAGGGTCAAAGTGACCAACTAAGTACAGAATTAGACAGCAGAATTTAAGGACTGTATACATTTAGTAGACAAAAGGTCAGGGCCACATCGAGAACCTATTAAGTACTGTTGTCTTAGAGCTTTATTAATAAGTTACATGTACATCATGTATAAGCACTAAAATTGGTTTCTTGTCATGCCAACACAGGTGAGATACTTTCAGAGTCATAACTTTAGAAGACTTAGGTTTATGTCAAACCTGTACATAAGTTAACTATCAAAGGCCATAATTCTTACATGATTGACCATATTTCTATTTGTTTACCAATTAAGTTTAAATCCAAGTGCTGTTTTTCTCTCTTTATTGTAAATACACTGTAGAAGAGCTACAGTCTAGTCACAGACTTCAGGTTGTTCTAGTTTCTCTGTTAATTGTTGCTTGGCAAGATGTTCATGCAACAATTGGCTCCCCCCCTTTTATTTTTCACAAAAATAGATATAAATTGGGGCTTAGCCCTCAAATGTTTATTTGTTGGTTTCATGCCTGTCTATTTACATCTATATATACCGGTGTATACATGTACACATACTTTTATATAATTTTTTGATTTCAGATTTTAACCTATTTGACAATCTGTTCTTAACTCCGGACCAAGGTGGGCAGATGGATCCTTCCTTACCGGGAGTGGACAAATTTCCCGGGGTCGTGGAACCGTACTTCAACCATCGGAAAAAAAGGATGTCAGTCGAGTAAGTTTTCTGGAGAGACTGTTACAATAGCTATCAAGTCTTAATTAGAGGCAACATGTATATCTGCAAAATATATATATAAATTAAACCATGCACAGAGCTGCCAACCCTTACCATTTTGGCGTAAGGCGTACAAAATCAATGTCTAAAATATGCCTTATGATTTCTCTCTATATTCTTCCGATTTCAGTTTTTCTCGTTCAAAGTTTATAACACAGGTATTTTTCATAGCTGGAAGTCTATAGTTTCTACTATTATAATATATTCATAATTCTTACAACGGTTGCTTGTATCATCATTTCGGTTTTAGAAGGCCGATCACATTCAAGTTAATATTTTAAAGTAAACAAAATGGAAACATGCCTCTGATTGCATGTCCATTTACAAAACATCTTCAGTGGCAGGGGGCCTAGGTGGTCCCTTGACCCCGCCTTACTATTTGTCATTTCAGAATATTGGCAGCTCTGCATGCATTGATTGCTTTTTGATTCCAATATTGTCTTCAGTTGCAAATCTAGCTGTTTCCAGCTTTTCTCTGCATACATTAGACTCTCACTTCATGATTGAAAGTTTGTCTAATTTGTCTATATTGAATTTTTGTAAATAATACTATTAAATATGCATATTCTTTGTATTTTAACTTTTTAAAAACCAAAATTTGGAAAGCATCTTTTGTATACAGAAATTACAAATTACTTTGACTCGAATCAATCTGCATGTTGTTGAATCTTTTCGCCCCCGCCTGATATTACTGACTCAGAGGTAAATTTTGAAAAAAATAGTCAACCAATATTAATATTTCAATGACATTGAATCAGATTTTTTTTCAGCTGTAAAAGAAACATCCTTTCTGGGGAGAGATCATTATTTATAAACATTAATTATAAACAAGAAACATATATTGACGCAAGCGTCAAAAATCGGCCGCAAACCAATTAATTGTTCCTTTTATGAAGCAACTAAAGACTGAAATGGTGATCTGTTTTAAAATATCTTATATTTATCTGTTAATATATATCCTCGTGACATTAAACGCTTGTGCACGACATTGCATGATTTTCTTAATTATATAATGCATGTTGTATTACATGTATATATAAGCAAAGTACCCCTGGTCCTTGGCAACAAACCGTGGGCCTGTATAATTAAGAGGCATTTACATTAAAAGTTTAAAACTAAAGTTTAATGTAATCTACAACTAGATATGCAGTGTAGTTTTAATCTAATAAAAACGCAACAAATATGTGGGGCTCCTTTCTCTCTTGGAGGAAAAAAACTTTTCTCTAGATCCGCCACTACATTTCTTCTCTTTCGGTTTCTTTGAGTTGAAGCGTTTGTCACATTGTAAAACGTGCACTATATTGAATTTTTGTAATATTCTATAGCCTGCTAGGTGTTTTGATGAATTAACATTTAACCATATTTTTGAAAATTTTTATATTTGTACATGTGTACACGTCGTTTTAAAATAAATACGTACAACAAATCCTGTTTAAATGGAGAAAGTAAAATTGTGCAATATACATAACGCGGTCTTTCCTTTGACTATGCCAACACGTCCTAATTTTCTCCGCACATCAAACATGTCTAAGTTTCTCAATCAGGATTGGATGAAATATTTACTTCATTTTTTATTTAAAAAATTAATCTTATGTTTATTGTGCGTTCTTGTTAAACATTTTTTTTTTTAATATACTATTATATTAATGTTAAATATTTTTATTTAAATTGTTTTACTCCGCAGAAACGCACAGAGACTTCAAACTTTCATATCATATAACCGACCGCCTCCTGGCGGCCGGTAACAAAGTAAAATTATAAGGTCACATTTTCAATGTACTGCTTTAATCCCACAGGCACCTGACGCTACTTATTTTTCTTTTAATAAAAAAATATACCCCTTACCTAATTATAAACAAGGTACACATCGGGCAACATCTTGAATTTTTCTTCTCGGTCACTTCCACTTCCATTTTTGTCTGAAAGTCTGTAAAATAAATTCCCTGCCACCATATTCTTTCTGTGACCAGTCTTTCAAGCTCTAAACTTATGGACAGTGCAACCAAAAGAGCGCATCACACTTGCAAATATTAAAAATCTCTCGTCAAACTCGATCTATTGCTTCAACAATCTGAGAAATGACTAAAGGGGGGCGGGTCGAAGTTTACATTCGACTTGAAATTCTTACAGAAACCTCTTTTTAGCTCACCTCGACGAAGTCGAGAGGAGCTTATGCTATACCAACTTTTGTTCACGTGCGAGAAATTTTCGCGAAATTCGCGAGAGCCTTGTCATCGCGAATATTTCTCGCCGCGAATCGGTCCTTAAAGTGTTATTTGTCTATAAAAAAAATCCAAAAAAGCTTGATCGCGAAAATTAATCGTCGCGATCTAGTTTACCCTTGTTAAATCGCGAAATAAAGTCGTCGCGAATAAAAGTTGGTTTACAGTATGCTATACCGTCGGCGTCAGTGTTGGTGTCAGCGTCCCAGTTTAAGTTTTAGGAGCAGGTCCATTCCCAAGTAACTATAAGCCCTACCTGGACCAAACTTGCATGGATGATGCATCTAGGGATGGACACTACCAGACTTGCTTCGGATGCTGAATCTGACCTACATTTTACAGATGAATGACCAGGTTAAAATTTTTGGAGCAGGTCCATTCCCAAGTAACTATAACCCCTTCCAGGACCAAACTTGTGTGGATGATGCAATTAGGGATGGACACTACTAGACTTGCTTTGGATGCTGGATCTGACCTACTTTTTCCAGATGAGTGACCAGGTTAATGTTTTTGGAGCAGGTCCATTCCCAAGTAACTATAAGCCCTATCCGGATCAAACTTGCATGGAAGATGCATCTAGGGATGGACACTACCAGACTTGCTTCAGATGCTGGATCTGACCTACATTTTCCAGATTAGTGACAAGGTTATTCCCAAGTAACTATAAGACCTACCGGGACCAAACTTGCATGGATGATGGATCTAAGGATGAACAATCAAAACTTGCTTCGGATGCTGGATCTGACCTACATTTTCAAAACGAATAACCAGGTTAAAAAATGTTGGAACAGATCAATCCCAATGAACTTTAAGACTTATTTAATCAGAACTTGCTTCAGTATTGTTGTCAGAATAAATACTAACTGTTAAGAAAATATGATGTGAGATTTGCATTACTTAAACTGATAACATTCATCGAGGTGAGCTTCGTAATCTTTGATTATCTATTTTTTGATTGGTCAATATATTTTTAAGATTTATTTTTAAAAATAATCAGTTAAAGTTAGCAATGATTCCAAAAACAATCTTTCAGACAGTTATACAATGTAATATAAGAACATTGATTTTATTTCCCTCAAAAATAATTTCGTTATTGATCTATCTTGATCAAACCGTGTCTGAACCATTTTTTTTTTGGTGACAGATTATACATATAACATGCATAAGCTAATATTTGAACATAACATAGTTTTATTAGTGTGACCCCACCCCCTGTTTTCAATTAAGCATATGCCAGATATATATATATATATATTTGGATGGTTTGATGTCTAATGCTTTTTAAAAAACATTCAATAAACTCTATATGATTTTTTTTTTTATTTCAAGCGCCCCCGTTCTTTTATTAAAAATTGTTTTATGCAACCATCTGTATATGGTATACATGTAGATTAAAACAGTATATTTTTACAAAGAATGTTTCCACTTAAGCATAGTGCCGTGGCCCCTTTTTCGGACCCCTCTAACTTTATCTAATTAACTCAAATATTAATAATTTTAACCGATATTTTGTTATCAGTGTGGTACATTACTTACAAAAATTTTCATTGAAAACAGCGCTTTAGTTTTATCTAAGGTAATTAAAAAAGCCCTCTAGTGGATGTTAATTCCGGAATGTTGTGCTTGTCCGAGTTGGGTTTTAATTGTGTCACATTAATATTCGGAGTAGGCGGGGCATTTTATAGATCGATTGAAAACATGTAATGGCTACAAAATATACAGAAAAGTAAACACAAAGAACTTCTCAAGCTTTTCTCCAGTTTTTTGTTTTTGTTTTTTGGGGGGAGGGGGGGGAGAGAGGGGCGCTGGGGGGATCTTTCGCGGGGATGTACAAGTACTCCGTCCATAAATATAGATTTTCCCTCAATTTTTAGTCGTTTCTAGGTGAAAATTTAACACTTATAATAAGCTGATAAAGGAAGCCTACAAGTTTGTAAATAAAAACAGAATAAAATCCCATTAAAGAAAAAACTTCTTTTGTATTTTCTAAAAGATTAGTGCCGTATCGAATTTATTAAATATCTCTCTCTCTCTCTCTCTCTCTCTCTCTACCTACGTACTTTTAAAAGTATAGTAAATACTTAGCACATATAATATTAATAGTGTACAGATTTTGTTGTTGTTGCGATGCTGCATGTTGTGATATTTTATTGCTAAAACAACTTTATTAAATGTATGTGTGATTGTTTTTTTGTTTGCTTGTTTGTTTGCTTTTTTTTTCGGGGGGGTTCCCAGAAAGTTAAATTCCAGTGTTAAACCATCTAGTACGTACTTCTATACCCTGTGTGCATATATTTTTACAGTAAAAAACGCTTTGAGGAATGATGGTATTGCGAAGATTGGGACTAAATCTCTTTGAAATTCTTTGACCCTCCAAACGTGCCCCCTAAATCCAAAGGACTAAAATAAAATATTACATTTTGTCCAATTTTATATTCCATAACCCTATAAAAAATACTAAGCCGAAAAAAAGAATTCGATGTTGATTAATTGAAAATGTACATGCAACGGTATAAGTCGGTCACTTTTCAATGCAATGTACATTATCAATCGGAGCTACAGCCACGTGATTTATTGATTTTTTTGTATTCACAAAGTTACCTGAGTCTACAAATCACGTGATATATTGGAATACTAAACAGGTCACCATGAGGTCAATGACATGTAAATACCTGTAAGTAGCGAAGACAACGGTCGGCGTTTTGTACCTTTTTTCAA